AACCCTTTGCTAACCTCCATTTCCGCATCTCGGGACTGGTCTGGAGCCGAATATGAATTTTTTAGTAAGACCGCCAACTTTCAACGCATGCCCCACCTATGGGCGCAGCTTACCATAGGGTTACGGTTGCTCTTTACATCTTGTCACATGCCCTACCCCCACCCTTGACCCCATCCCTCCAAGTTGTTCTTGTAGAACCGAAGTTCTGGACAGGAAAACAAACAAGCAAACAATGTCTAGCCAAAGTGAAAACTTTCTGTTACGAAAAAATCTTCCCGTCACTACTTAGGCGCCAACGCGTTACTGCAGTCTTGAAGACGAACTGTTGCCTGAAAAAACATTCCGAACTCATCTTGAAGGTCTCCAGTAATATGATTATCGTTTCCAATCTTCTGCCCTTCTGCAAAATAAGAAATCTTGTCACCGGAGAAATCATTAAGGCTTTCATATGAACGTCGTAGTAGCCTTACGTTAGCGTCTTCACAAGGATCTAAACAGACTCGCTTTGTTCCCATTGTTGCTGCTGTGATAGAATAGCACTGCCCTAATAACCTCTGATAACTTCTGCAGCTATTGGGACGTGGTGACAGTGGTGCGCTTTCAAAATTTTTTTCGAATTCTGCATCAGTACCGCCATTCCCAAGCCCCTCGTCGTGGGGTTGATGCGCTGAAATGTGCAATCAGAGGCTAGAATTTTCTCGAGACGTAATGAAAAGCTGTCTGAAACTGCAAATTAAAATGTCGGAGCAGCGCTCCGAAATTTTATTGTTGTCAACAGGTGGTTACAGTCTCAAATGCGTTTGCCAACACAGCGAATACTGCGGTTTTCCATCAACCTCGACAGTGACAAAAAATCTGTTTTCATCCGGTGTTCGATGGATGACTGTAAAAAGAATATCAGTGAGTTACATTTCAGTAGAATTACATTGACATCTGAATTGCTGCTACTCGTTACGGGGGTATACGAAATGCGAGGAAGAAAGGAAGTCCTAAACCCATGCATGAATTATTGCGGATTGTGTGAAGAAAAAATAGGCAAATCCGCTCCTCTGTAACTACATTGAAAGGAAATGGTTTCTTTTTTTTCTGCAGCTGGCAATAGTGTGAAGAGAAAGCCTCTCGTCAAAGAATAAAACTTCCTGAATCCGCTCATACACATTGAGGTGTATAGGACATCATTCAGCCCCGCAAGCTGTCGATGTGTCGTGGTCCCCCGCCCAAACATGCCCAGGAATGGAGATACAGGACCGTGAAACACGCTAATTCCTCCATGCTCCGCCTTACACCTTTTTGCGGCGCAGATTCCCGTCCTTCATAACATCCGTCGTAAGCGCGCGTGTCGCGTGCGGCTCCTTGGCACTTTGCCAAGTCCTTTAATCGCGTTCTCAAATAAGGTGAAAGAAAACGCAATTCCTGATGCCGATATACGATTGGAGGGGTCTAGAAAAATAGAACAGAAGATGATGACGAGGGCCAGAATTCAAAAGCAACTCGGCTGCATCTGCAGTATCCATAAGAGGCCGCGCATTCCCACAAAACATGAGAATAAAAAGCAACCCAGGACGTCCCACTCGTTTGTTCTAAGTATTTCTATGGCTTTGGCGCCGGATCGTAGAAATTTACAGGCCAGTTTATCTAATTTGCCTTTCCTTGATTTTTTCATTTTTGTTTTGTTTACATTTACATCGTTGTGCTTCATTTCTAGCCTGTGTCAATCTTCAATCTCGTCGGTACACGTTTTTGAAGCATACAACACCTATAAATTTTATTGGCGCGGATGCAGGAACATTGAGTTTTTGCCTTGCATTAAACTAGACGAGTATGCCATTTTTAATTCAATGTTTCGTGGAGATGATCCGGCCTCTGAGGGATGTTGCAGAAGTGGCACAGTTGCTTTTAAGTTCTGACCCTCGTCATCATCTTCTGTTCTTATTTTGCAGCACCTCCAATGTTATCCGCATCAGGAAAGTAATATTGAAAGCGCAATTAAAGGACTTGGCAAAGTGCCAAGGAGCCGCACGCGACACGCGCGCTTACGACGGATGTTATGAAGGACGGGAATCTGCGCCGCAAAAAGGTGTAAGGCGGAGCATGGAGGAATTAGCGTGTTTCACGGTCCTGTATCTCCATTCCTGGGCATGTTTGGGCGGGGGGACCACGACACATCGACAGCTGGGGGGCTGATAGTCTCATACACCCTCAATGTGTGAGAGCGTACTATGTGTCTTTAAGACATTACTCAAGCTGCTCGCGCACAGCTTGCTCCACCTGTTGCGATTCAATCAAGAGGCATTATGACTAGCTAAGTGGAAGAACAAACTCCGTTCCCATTATGGCGCCTGGCGAAAACAGGCCAGTTAAAGATAAGTAGGAGAGCCGTGAGCCGGGCCACCCGACTGTTAAATGTACAACCCACTACGTGAAAGTCCGTTTCACAGGGGAACAACAACGTCGAACACCGGATACTAGCCCAAATCATAGGGACCACACAGAATAGAAAGGCGTAAAAGCACAGGCACTTAAGGAAGGTTATTCATTGTAGGAGCACTGGTTATGAGTGTAGTACTGAGCAATGTCGTCTATGATTAAACTCTCTTTGTGATAGATGTCCGTACAAAGTTCACATAGTGCTGTACTTGTATACGTCGGCGGCAGTCGGTAATCTTTGGCCCATTCAAAGTACCTGATATCTCCGAAATTTACTAGATTTACACAGAATGAAACTGCTTGAAAGCGCCTGTGCACAAAAGTTCCGTGTTCAGAACGTACTCTTAGGTATGCAGTATCGTTCGTGCGCAAGAAGTTCAAATAATCACCCAATTCCTTGGTACTCTTGAAGTCGTCCAGAGCAATAAAAGATTTTGGAGGAATATCAGTGCCTGAAAAAAAGAGCAGAAAGTGAACAATAACGTCAACATCTTTTAGTCATAATGATGTTGTCCATATCTGCTACCCACTGCACTTTAGGAGGAAACCGGAAGGTTACCGCTAATAAGTTAATTACTGTGCTCCTCCATGTCCTTCACTCGGAAAATCGTTCTGCGATTCCCAGAGACAGTCGAGATCAGCGTACGACTACAAGCTCTCGCAATCTATGCCTAATTATGGCCACTTTCAGCTAGAGGTTATCTTCAGCTAGAAGCCGGAAATGGCTACGAGCTGAAATGTTGGGGTATGTCAGGAAACCAAACTCTTTCTCTATAGAATCTGATAAGCGTTTCGCAACAGGAAATCGCTCGCCCTGCAAGAGCAAGAAGAGGTTTGCAGCTGGATATTACACAACAGGCGCGATTATATGGTTACCTTCATACTTTGCGACTCCACGTTTTGGGTAAATGCATTTCGAGCGAATCGATGCTCTGAGGAAAGCAGTTGTAGGCATCCTTGACTACCATACATGTCTCTAACGTGAAACTCATACAGTAACCTCACACAGTAGTACGATGAGCTCGGCCACTTATAACTGGTCTTGTGTTGTGCCTCCGAAAAGTTGTTTGTTAATATTAATTTCACGAAAGATCCTTCAAGTTCTTTCATGAGGTTAGAAGCGATATCCGATGGGTAAGAGTATACTAGTAGGTTGTCCTGAAAGGTCGCGAGATCGGTTTTTTTGAGTTTCGTATCAGATTTCTCCGCAATCATTTCGAAATCCAGTTGCGTGGTCTACGGAAAGTGTATAAAGTAAGCATTCCACAGTTGCTTTACCGTCCTGCACAGTCGCAAATCTCTTATGCGAAACGGTGATTGAAACTGCTCATTTTCGACGCTCGCTATGGATTTCCTCCAAGTCACAATGTGGTTGCTGGCACACGCGGCATTTGCTCCGGGTTGAGTCTCGATGCTACCTTCCCTATTATGGCCTTGAAATGGCCCAATCGTTTCGCTCAAGTGTCTTCTACCCGGGAGAGAAACATTGTCCAGGGCCACCTGCCTTGGACTTGGACCTTCTGCGCTCCTTGATCAAAACCCACTTGTACAAATCAACTCGCTATCTGGCTCTGCACTTGACTGTTCCAAAGGCACAAATTACAGAGGCTCTCACCTCCTTTAAAAATATTGAGGTTCGGCCGGAATTTTTCTCGTGAGTTGGCCGATACTCAAGGGGAAGGGCATGTGGGTATTGTCTCCAACTTCTCTCCCGCATCTGACGTATGGACTGGTTGAATGGCGTTGTAACTGAATATGAGGAAAAAGTCTTCAGGTGAATCGCTCCCGGAAACGCCAGTGGCTAGATCCTCCACAAAAGGCAGAATCGGTCGCGCAATCCTATCAATCCAGCGGGACGATGAGAGTGTGTATGTGGTGGGGTTTCGTTCCCTCTTTCTTCAAGGGAGTTTCTTCGCTATGGTAAGCACTGAACTCTACTGTTACAAATAGCAAAGAGGGGATAAAGAATCCCATTGGTCCCACAACCCAGCAATGTGTGCTACCACCACGGCTCAGGGCCACACCTCGAAAAATGACACTGCTCGAGTTTTTGAGGCTTGGCTCTGGTGAACCCCACCGCGGTCTGCATGTAGCACGGTTCAGCTCTGTCTGACTGCCATCTAAACTAAGTCCAAAATGCGATTTTCAAAAGCACTTCTGTATTAGCCGCCAACCGGCCTTTTATCGGCTCGGGAGCCAAAAAGCTTTTGGAAGCTAGACAACCATTCTCTGCTTCAGGCATAGTTTCTCATTTGAATAAACTTGACTCGAGGAAAAGTTTCGAAAATGTCACGGACTTTTGGGACGACCTAATATAATATTTTTCTGTCCATCAAAGCCGAGCAGTCTTTTAGAACAAGCCAAGTTGTTCTGCAAAGGCAACCATTCTCTGAAAGCGACACTGTTGATTGTTCTGCTGCAGGGCAAGTGAATAAACCCTATGTACTTTGTAGTGACGCTGTTCTTCCAACAGTACATCTTACAACAGTACCTTCGTAAATTCGCCTCTTCATCACAACCGGAATGAGAAGTTGTGAGATCCTTTGATAGAATTTTTCAGTGATATAGCCGTTACATAAGCTATTCTCATAGGCAATGTAAAATCGATGAGTAGCTGAAAACATTTTGGATTGTTAAACGCGAATTCCATAGATAAAATTGAGTAAGTTTCTTTTGCTTCCTTTTTCATGACAATGACACCTTATGAGGCGGAGGTGGCGTGGTGACAAGTGGCGCGCCTACCACTCGCGCGGCGCTAAGTTCGAATCCCGTTTTAACAAGCGCCCGGGCCAACCGAGCATTCCACACTCCGAGGACGGTAAATAGGTACCAGGTTCGTCTGGGAGGATAAAACACTGACTTGTCATAGGCTAGCCACCGCAAGTGATTGTATAGACCACATCGCATTCAGTAGGCCACCATGATTCTGAATGGAAGTAGAATTCGTGCCGCATCACACAAAGGGATTGAGCAACAGAGAACACTGTATCCTTTTTGAACCTTACGGCGTGTCCGTAAGTGCACAAGGTAGGAGATGTCAGTGTACATTCGATTGTGCAAGCGAGATCAGACAAAAGTTAACGTTGCCATATTGTTGTGAGAGATCAGAAAATAATAAGTACATATGGATTCAGAATAATTAACCTATGAGAGCATCGTCATCGCAATCTTCTTTGCAAGAGAATCCTCGCGTTTCGTTGCCCACGCTGAATTGTTCCTCGCACTTTCCTCTGACCGTTACTTCAGTATATTGCCCTAGTTCTCTTAAACGACCATTTGAGCAATTTGATCGAGTTTCAGAGGATGCGCATTTGCGATCATTATGTTGTTCAACTAAGAACAAAACTTTAACAGGCGAGACTTGGAGGTAGGGTCAGCTAGAACAGTGGCCTGGCCTAATCAACAAGGCAGAAAATGGAGACGTGACGACCATAAAATTGCAATGTTGAATTTGGCAACTGGTGAGTCTCAACAGGTCGCTAACCTTCAGAATTAGCGTTATCTGCAAAACATTGAAACTTCACCAGTGGCGGGTTAACGGTAGGCGTATCAGCTTTTCGACGCTCAACCAATCGATTCAGAAGGATTTCTCTGGTTCGATCCCGTCGTTCAGCAGGGTTTTCGGGTCGCAGAGCTGCCTTTGTTACACTACTGACATAATATGATCTTCTCGCTTAGAGGGTGTCTTGCAGTTCGAGACGAAAATAAGTGACCTCTAGTCTTCCTCTTCAGAGAGTCGATAATCTGAAAATTCGTGTTTACATTTAGACCACACAACTGTTATATTATCTCAGAAGAAAGCTCTCAATCTGTCATGGACCAGAGGTCAGCAATGCTACATTAGCCGAGGAAAACGAACTTTGAGGTGGCTTTGAGAGATGATATTTCAAGATGACCCCTGAACAAGAGCGATTATCAAATGGATGCTCTGGAGTTCTTCCAACGTCAAGACAATTATAAGCAAAAGAAAACACAATATTGGGGTGAAAAAAATAAAAAATGGGCAAATTAAAAAAATGGGGGGAAAAACTCCAAAATGCGCCAGGTGATCCGCTTCGCCCGCTATCCCAGACGAACCTTTCATTGTCTATCCAACCCCCAGGCTCGTCATTGCGGTACGGTTGACGACATAAGGACATAAACTACATAGGGGAAAGAGTTGAGGAATAAGGATAAAACGAGATAAAATGTGAAAAAAGTTCACATGCGAAATTCATGCAACTAAGATGAGGAGAAAGTGCACAGAAAATGAAAGAAGGATTTAATATAATGTAGCTACGGAACACGTGTGAGAGGAAGGAAAATGTGTGATGTGGATTGTTGCCAAAAGGGTAGGCCGGCGGGGAATATCGAGTATAAAACAGTTGAAGCGGATCACAAAGGGTTAACCAAAAAAGAATAGTTGTGGTTGCAAGAGGATTAGTGTTGAACCACGATGTCAACAAGAATACCTTCAACCAATCTGTTATCTTTCTACACTTATTTGCGATTGATTATTCGTAACCTAAAAATTTACATGAACTTACAATATAACAGCAGCGAATCTACCAGCCTAATGTATTTCTTGAAAGCTCTCCACTAACAGGATGACAACGGGGAAAGCACCGAGAGTTACTGAAGACCCTTTTTTCCGAGGAACAGGGATGAGGAAAGGCCCTAGACGTATATCTAGCTCTGACGGTAAGCAGCTGGAAGAAATAGTGCTACGACCCCATGTTACATCTCAACCTTTGATAATCCTACGGCGTCCGCGGAAGTCGACGCGCACTTTCAAGGCTCGGCAAGTGAGGGAAGTCTGCGAGGGTCCTCGATGCGAAGACGGCATCGGGCGGGAGGGGGTGGTGGCGGGGAGGAGCAACCAGTCTAAAAGTCTCGCAGTGTAACGTGTAAAGTCCGTATTGCTAAACTTTGGAACCTTGACCATGTTCATGTGAATTGGCGGAGGCCAGACGAATCGATCTCTGTGTAGTGCAGGAAAAAAGATGGTCCATTTGCGAGTTGAGAGACATTGGTCGCGGTTTCGAAGCCATTCTTTGCGACTCGATAGCTAGCGTGGAACGTTTTCGACGACCGTTTAATGAAGTAGATTCTGTTGTCGATCAAATGACTGTGACTATTTTTTTTCCGCATATGCCCCGCAGACGGGATGGATGCACAATCAAAGGACGAGTTTTGCACTCCTGAGGAGAAGGCGACTGAGCTACCGTCAGAAAACGTAATAATTGTCGCAAGAGACCTCAGCTGGCACGTGGGCCCAACGAAAGACCGTTACAGTTGTCATGGTGTTTTCAATCATAGGACACGTAACTTCTATGGCGAATAATCCCGCCATCGTGTCAAAACGGAACTGCTAGAACGCCAACAGACTTTTTTTTTGTCAGGCATCGCGATCAAGGACTTGTCACAGACGCGAAGACCGTGCCGTATGAGACAGTAGCCTCGCAACATCGCCCGCTTATCTGTACGCTAAAGATAACACCGCCCAGGTCGAAACAGATAGAGCGATGTGGTCCCGAGAGAATCAAATGGTGGCATTTGAAGGAAAAGGAGGCAGCTGTGATCTCTCACTCGATAACCAGTCGTCGCCACTGTCGATTAAACATGGAAGAATGCTGCCAAAGCGATAGTTAAGGCCGCACGCTCTGAACTTGGCACAACGAACCTGGAAGGCGTAGAATCGAAAAGCAGGCATGGTTGTGGACAGACAGGCTGAAGGTTTGCGAGAAGAAGAAGCGCTATCACTTGTTCCTCGAAGACAAGTCAGCTGACAACTGGCGGAAATATCAGGAAGCGAGAAGTACGGCAAAGAAGGCTGTGGCTGCTACAAAAGCCGCTCACTTTTGAAGAAGTCAGCAAGAAGCTGGAAACGCGCGATGGCGAACGGCACATCTACCGACTTGCCAAAGCTCGTCATCAGCAGGTCAAAGATGTTGACAACTTCCTTGGCATGAGCAATGAGAAGGACCGGTTTCAGATGGACTAAACAAAGGTGCTGAGACGAATACACGACTTCATCAAGACAATTTCCACAGTGGAAAATAAACACCCAGTCCACACGCTGCGCCTCACCAGCTTAGGGTTGGGTTCAGAAGTTAAGCGTGAAATAAACGGAGGCGGCTTCAGGAAGATGTAGCCAGGCAAAGCGATGGGGCTGACGACGTGGCGGCCGAAATATAAAATCACACTGCTGGCAGTATGCTTGACAATGTTTTTCCAGTTAGGCGCTGCAGAGAAGAAGAAAGTGCTCAAAATTATGCGAGAGAGCACGACTGTTCTGATCTGGAAGAAAAGAGGCAGTCCTGCAGCTACTCAAATTATCGTGGAACTCGCTTGCTCTCCCACAGTATGAAATTCTTGAGCGAATTGTTGATAGCCGTATTCGGGATATCGTCCAGCTCTCTGCCAACAAGTGTGGCTCCGTGAGCGGCTGCAGCACCATCGGCACCATACATGCCGCTCGTCATTGCTGGGAATACATGGTGAGAAGAGAATTCGCTCCTTGGACGCTTGTCTACGCTGGTGATGTGATGCTCGCTTGCGAGGATAAGAATGGTCTCGAGAAACAATGCAAGTCCGGACTGAGGTTAGCGAATTTGAACTTAGATTGAACGTCAGGGAAACCGACTACCTGACGACTAACCCGGACGAGTCTGGTTCGCTTGAGATCAGCGGCAGCGTGCTGACGCAAACGATAACGTTCAAATACCTCGGATCAACAATTAGGTTTAATCGAAGATCTATAGATCGTCGTTTGACCAGTAGCTGTGCGGTGCATAATGCTGGCCTACGACCAAAGAAGTGGAGGGGAAAATGTTGCGATGGATCGCAGTGTCACCGTATGGATCGCATACTCAATGACGACACCAGGAAGAGATTCCGTGTAGCTCCTGTAGTGAAGAAAATGCTCGAAGCGAAGCACTCGATGGTATGGTAATGTTCTTTGCTCAAACTGCGACATCATTTGTAGAACTATGTAGTCTTGTGCTCGAGGTACCTGGAAAGCGGTCCAAAAGACGCCCCAAGCAGCGCTGGTTGGACTTGTTGCATGCGGACCTGAAGATAGTAGGCACCTCCCGACCAATTTCATTCATCAATAAAACATACCTGTTGTTGTGTTACAAACAGGCGAGGCTGTGCTCTGTCTCCAGGAGCTAACGGCACGAATTGTCCATAAGGATGGAAGTAGCGTGAGTCTCGTCTATACGTCATAGTGGCATTGAAAAATTGCGGGGCACCTAAACTGCACCTTCCTTATCTGTGAATAGCATTGCACCAATAGCTATATGCCATTGTGGCGGCTGCGGTTTGGTGGGACATTTACATTTGTCCGACACCAGACAACATGACTCTTGTATCGAATTGGAAAATCACACGAACGAGAGAAATTTTCTCATTCTTCATGACAGTGGGTACTTAATCTTCTTGCTGCCAGTGATCAAGAATTCCTTCCTGAAATACTGCTTCGTAGAGTAACCAGCAGGATCGAACGGCCGAGCTCTCCTCCTTCTCATTAGCCCGGCTTTGCCGGGCCGAGGTGCACTTCATAATGGAAACAAGATTTGTTTGTCATAGTGCGCAGTATTGAAGGAACCGTAACAGATAGAACAATCAACGGGTTCTGCAC